CATCTTCTACCCAAGATCTGCATTTCATTCACTCATATCGTAAATAGTCGTAATTGGTTAAAGCTTTTCCAAAGATCAAAACTTTACAATAGGGTCTTTGAATAAGTTGTACCTGAGAATTCTAAGAGCTTCGACTTCCGCTTCGAGGATAGATCTTTTGTCGAGAAGAGATTCGAGTTTGGATTGTAAGTCGTTTAGCATCTCTTGTAACTTGCTGTGTTCATCGAGGTAAACAGATTTATCGGTTGTTAGCCTCTGAGACATCTCATCGATATCTTCTCTCAAGCTACGAAGCAACTGTTTCTGACAATCTATGGCTGCTTTTTCTTTCAAACGCTCGGCAAACCACTTCTGCTGAGCAGTTTTTTCTTGTTCTAATTCGCTAACTCTGGAGAGATACAGCTCTTCCATTTCAACTCCTCGGGATTTCTCTACCTGAAGCTTATCATCCCAAAATTGCTTTATTTCACCTTTTTCTAGCAACTCGGATCTGATTTCTTCCATCTCAGCTTTCTGTGAGAAGGACTCTGCTTCTAACCTTGATAGCTCCGCTGAAATAGCTTTCACCATTTTACCGCTCGTTAATGCTACAGCTGCTTGTGCTTTTGTAACAGGTCTATTAGGCTGAAACCGCTTGGTCCTACCTGTAATATATGATTCACAACATTAAATCTTCGATTTGTTCCTGCACCAATGAATTAAAAACGAAACTCGAACACTAGAAAGTTTTGAATTCAATTTTCTCTGTAGTGTTTCCTCCTCGGATATTTGAGTCACGTACCCACATCAACAATCCGACGAAGAAAATTTAAAGTGAGAAGGTAAGAAATTAGAGAGAGGTAAAATACCGAAAACGTTTTTGATTGTGCTCTTGTCACCCATCAAGAAGTCCAAGAAGAATCCCAATGCCATATCGGGGTTGATATTCTTCGTGTCTATATAGTCTACCTTTGTCCTTGATATCTGGACTGTAAACAAGTCAGGTTTTTAAAGTATCTGGCAAAGCATCACCATTACACGCAAATGTTAAAAATTTATCACACCTCTTCCATAATTTCTGGATAGAAATCACACTCCACTTGAGCTTTCCAGTTTACCAAATCCAGTCGCGAAACAAAACTGCAGCCACCAAATATACCAAAACAATTAGACTTCAATGAACAAATACAAACCAAGAAGAAAGTTAATCCCCGGAATACCTTTCAGGGCAGAAATTCACGTTTCCGAACTCATTTTGAGTACCTTCCACGGATAACTTGCTGGAAGTAATGCCTGCCTCTGCCAAGGCTGAATGGCAAATCAAAAATAAAAAGTCAATTACAGAAAGGTAAATTCAATCGAAACAAAGTAGAAATGTCTATATCGATTATACCTTGTATGTACTCGAAGTCAGGGTCTGAAGTATTCACATCTTCAAATGCAGGAATTGAAGAGCCAGCTAAAGCAACTGCTGGCACGATCCTGTGCTTCGGATTTCTAAAGGCAAGAAAAAATCATACTTTGATCAGTCATTCACCACACAAACACAAAGAGTTTTATCATATCGGGAAATTGTTTACTCCAGGAAGTATCATTACCTTTCTAATAAAAAATTTGAACGAACAAGCCATCTAGCATACTCTCGTCTAGTACACAACTCGTCTGCCATTACATCGTCTTCAATTATCTGAACAACTTAATTGCAAGTGACATGTTCATGATCAGAGCTGGACAATTTGAGGCTCATGCTACTAGTCAAGTTGTTATACTTTTCGAAACAAACCTTTAGTTTCTTTAAAACTGCTATTGCTTCTTGTTGAGCAATATCCACGGAAACCGAAGTGGTGACACTGTGAGTCTTCTTTCTGGTTGATGCTAAAACACAAATTAAGTCTTGTTGAATCAAAATGTAACAACAACAACAAGTAATGAATTCTTCAAATATGCCTCGAAAAATCGACCCAAAAAAAACGAGAACTTACCTATGTCAACAGTATCTGAAACATAATCAACCCTTTCGGAGTTTGCCTCAGCATCAGAATTCTTCTCATCAGTCGAGAACGAAGTCGTAGTTTCGCTCTCTTCACTCTCATTCTGATAATGTAACGGATTACTAAACCACAACCTAAACCCTGTCAAATAAACACAAACCACCATAATCTCAAATTCGATAACTTTCCTACAATCCATGAAAACAAAAGACTTGAGAAAGAATTTGTTTTGACCTTTTCTCGAGATTGAGAAGTAAGCAAGAGTAGCTAATAGAACAGCAAGTGACGATCCAACACCAGTGACTATAACATTTCGCCATTCTAAAAATTCAACACAAAGTTAGGAAATTTCTTCAATTTCTCACTGAATTAGAAGAACCCATTTGAGGGAAAACGAGGAAAGATACAAACTTTGTTTAGTTTTCGAATGAGGAAGAAGAGGGTCATCTTCAATAAGAGCCCAACCACCATATTTGTCTTTGGAAGCTTGAGAGACCCATGAAGCACCGGAGAGAGAAGCGACGATGCGGAATCTCGGTGGTTTGAGAGAAGGAACGAGTAATGGTTGGTGAGTGAGACGATGACGTACAAGTAAAGGAGAGGTTTTGGGGAAGAAGTAGGAAGAATTTGGTGGCTTGTTAACCGAAAAAGAGCACATTTCTTAAGAATGGAGAATTAGGGTTTTTCTTTGGGGATTGGAATGCTTCAATTCGAAGAAGCACCTACCTACTAGA